TCCTCTGAATTCCAGGGGCTGACCACCTTCAAGCCAGGGCAGTGCCCATACCAGGCAGCAAAGCATTGTGAGTGCTGGGCAGCTACTCCTGCCGAGGCACCATTGGGCCCCCTGAAGACGATGGGCACAGGCTGGAGGCCCGCCGACATATAGTAGGTCTTGGCAGCCGAATTTATAACCTGGTCAATGGCTTGCATGGAGAAGTTGAAGGTCATAAATTCACAAATGGGCCGCAACCCAGCCTGTTGAGTACAAAAATGGATGCTAAAAAGACCACAGAGCGACAGAGTGACCAGCAACCACACACTCTGTTCCTCCAACATCCAATGTTTTAAAAGGTCGTATTTGAAGAAATCTCTCGTAAAGAATGTTACATACCATAGCTGCACCTACAGCAATTCCAGCAAAGCCCATCTACAAAGTCAGACACAAGCACGGGTGAGAAGCCATCAAAATCAGGACTGTGCACACTAACACATATGTCCCTCCCAGGCCGGCCTCCTGCCAGCAGCTCACCTCAGATATGGGGGTGTCTATGATCCTCTTGTCTCCATACTTCTTCCACAGGCCTCGGCTAACCTACAATTTGGGGGTGCATTGATAATTTTAAGCACATGTCAGAGCAAACAGCCGCCTTGATTTTGTGTAATCGTCACCCACTTTGGTTACCTTGTACGCCCCATCGTATTGGGCAACTTCTTCCCCAAGCAGAAATACCCTCTCATCTCTCTCCAGCTCCTCATCCATACCTTGATTTATAGCATCGCGAACAGTCACCTGTCACAGGCATGTGAAAGTAGTCAATAAGCTACAGGAGGATACAGGACACTGCTGAGAGTCTCTTCTTTTATACTTGGCTGAGCTGCCCACAGTATAAAATACGCAAACTAATACCAGATCTAATACTGGAACAGATCCTTTTAAAAATTCCAAGAATCTAAAATTACCATTTCTTTCACACACAGTCTTCAGCTTCCTGCTGAGCTTCTCAACATCTTTCTTGATGTGTACTCAAGCTTAAGAAAACTGCTTCTGGGCCACATTTGCTCACACGCAGTTTTCCAGGCAGAAAACACACCGGCTTGTTTATTGCCACACTTGGAGTACTAAAGGGTGAAGAGCTAACAAGGAAGCCTAAGAGTAAGCGCCCAACACTCACTAGGCGAGCGCTGCTCGCCATCCACGGTGCCGGAGCTACTATCTTACTAGATGCAATGGAAAATCTTCCAGTAAGTGGGCAGGAGTGGTGGTGACAGTTCCATGATTCAGCAACTACACAGGAGGAACTAAAAGGAGTGCGCAGACAGACACCTGTGCACCCACAATCGCAGCAGCGCCTTGGCCGGACGGGTAAACACAACGTGGAATACACTTACATTGGAAGCTACACAAGCTTTTCAGGGACACAAATTCTGACACACACTACAGGAATGAACCTTGAAGACAGCACTAAGGGGTATAATAAGCCTAACAACAAAAGGCCAAATGCTCCGTTTGGATGAGGTTTTAGAACAGGCAAACTCAGGCCAGGTGCGGTGATGCACACCAGCAAGCCCAGCACTCAGCAGGCTGAGGCAGGAAGATCGCTGTAAGCTCGGAACCAGCCTAGGCTACAAAGTGAGCTCAAGGCCAGCCTGAGCTGCACAGTGAGACCTCGTCTCAAAAGGGCAAAAAATACACTAGGTACACAGAGGTTACCAGGGACTGGGGAAGGGAAGCGAGGTACTACTGTGTAATGCACAGAACTCCTGTTTGGGTTGATGAAAAAAATTGTGGACGGTGGTGATGGTTGCATAATTAGACGTACTTTATGCCACTGAACTAAGCTCTGTAAGACAGTAAATTTTTCGACACATAAATATGGCCGTGAAGGAAGCGGCCGGTCTTCCGAGGGCACCCGGCCCGGCCGGTGGGCGATGCCCGGACGGCCGGTACTAGGCGGCGACAGAGGCAGCGGGGGTCCCACACAAGACAGGCCTCGCAGGTTCCAGGGCCCGTGGCACCCGCCCCCGTGGCAGCCGAGCCGCCACAGCGGTCCCCGCCGCGCACTCGGGTCGGGCCCTGCGCTGACCACCGCGGGCGCCAGTTACCTGCAGCGTCGCGGGCGCGGTCCGGTGAAAGCGCCTCTTCAGCACCCCCGAAACCTGGCGAGGAGACAGAAGGGCTCTCAGCGCGGACGCAGGGTGGGCAAGGGTCGCGCCGCGCGGGGGGTCGCATGCCGCTGCCTACCTGCCGCAGGGGCCTCCGCACCAGGGCCGACACCGCCGCCATCTTGCCCGTGTCCTCTAGCCACCGCCTAAAGACAACACGCAGTGGCCGCCCGCGCCGGCGGGCCCCGCCTCCTCGCTGGCGCGGCCAATGGCAGCGCGCGGCGCCTGCGTGCCCCGCCCACAGCGCCGGAGGGGGCGGGGCCGCGTGCGTCGCAGCCCCAGGTGCCTCTAGTCTAACGGATCAGCTGAGGGCGACGCTGACGCGCGGGTTGCACGCCTGGCGCATGCCCCCCTTGGCTGGAGCTTGACGTCTGCCCTGAGACTGTGAGGAGGAGCCTGATCAGGAGAGGCTGGAGGGCCTTTGAGAGTCAGCCACACCTCTCTGGGTCCTGGAAACCTCTGTGCACCAAGTCCTGCACACACTGGCCGTGGGGACCTCACTCCTGCACGCGTGCACCGTGTCTTTGTGGGCAGCGCCGTGGCCCTGTGGAACGCAGGTGGCGCCTGCTGTGTGCCAAGCATTGTGACTCACGTCTAGAGCTCCTGTGACAGAGTCACTCTCGGGTGATTCCTGTATGATTAGTTCCATTTTGCAGAAGGGCGAAATGTCTCAGGTTAAATGTTCTAGGATTTGATGGAGGAGCTCTGGTCCTTATCTTGAGCGTGGCTTCCTGGCTCTGGAGGGAAGATGGTGCTTGGCTCAGCCTCATGGAGAAGCTCGTCATGTCACGTTGGCTTTCCTGGTGGCACCTCAGCTTTCCTCATCGTTGGAGGAGCTCAGGACCTCACTCGCTGAGGACGGTTGTGTTCTTTCTGGGGAGCTCAGATTCTTACTTCGTCACTTCCTGGCTCTGGTTCAGATCCCTCAGCCTGCTGGCCCAGATCCTTCATCCCACTGGCACAGACTTTCTAGCGTCCACCCCTCACCTTTGGGCCTTTCCAGCTCAGATCTGTGAAACAGGCCCACACAGGGCATCGTGCTGGGCTCTAGGCCTCAGTTGGACTTGTGGGAGGCATCATTATGGGCTCTTGGTCTTCAGCTGGACTCATGTAGGACATTCCCATGGATCCAGGCCCTCAGATGGATTATTTGGTCTTTAGTGTGTGGACAGATTTCCTGCATTATGAGCCAGGGATATAGCTCAGTGGTGTAAGCGTCTGCCTGGGAAGTGCAGAGTCCTGAGTTCAATCCCTGGTACCAAAATAGAGAAGTGGTGGTACATACCTGTAATCCCAGCACTTGGGAGGCTGAGATAGGAGGATCATTGGGAGCTTGAGACCAACCTGGGCTGCAAAATGAGCTCAAGGCCAACCTGAACTGCCTAACAAGATCCTATCTCAAAAAGACAGACAAAACGAAACAAAAATCCTGCCTTCTTTGTGTATGATTCTTTGGGTGATTC